AGGGAATTAGTAAAGACAGTTAAAGCACACACACAGGCCATACCTTCACATTGTCCGTAGTTGATCGTGTCATTAGCATAGCCGCCCAAGCATTCGCAAGTCGCAGTACCTTCTCCGTCCACGCACTCGCTTCTGACGCCACACCACGAATTTACGCTCTCTTCGCTCTCACACTCTGCTTCGTCTGAAAAAAAAGTTCTTTTTTTTACCTGCCTGTCGTTTAGAATTGTTCTTATATGCATAGTTGTCTGTATATGTAACATGTGTGTATTAAGTGGAGCTATAAACCCATATACACGCTCAATTGTAGTATCTATCAGCTTCCTATCAAACAGCATCGAATGACGACGATATACCCATCTAAAACAGCACACATCCACAGTTTCTACAACATTTCAACATATCCATACCTAGAAAAGTGCCGTTGACGAGGACATAACCTGGCCGAGGATGGCACTGCTTTTCCCCGTCCCTTGGCTTGAAACACACACTCTTCGCCTCGTCCTCGCACTCACATTTCGTCAGCTCGTCGTCTGGTACAGGAAAATAATAATATTGATGATATTTTTATTATTTGCTTAAAAAATGATTAGTTCTTATTTTCGTTTTGTTTTGCTTAGATTGTTGTTCCCGAGTGTATTATCTTTCCCTTATATATATATATATATATATATATATATATATATATATATATATATATATATATATATATATATGAAGACTATCCAAGCACATATACATAGAATAGCAATATCTCACAAACTCTACATTCTTTTCTTTCTTTCTTTTCAACTCCTTTCAAGAAAAGAGAACAGAAGAAAGAGAAAAAACGTCATGATAACACACCGATAACACACGAGCGCGTAAACGCCTGCCACGTGAACCCAGGGTAACACGAGCAAGAAAAACGCAGCGGAGGTTCTGCGTCTTCACACACATGTTCGCAGTCGTGTAAGGATGGACTCGCACATTCGTTCACATCTGCGGAAGAGTTATAGTTATTTTTTATATATTACTCTTGAGGTTATTCTCTTTCTTTTAAAATTGGTTTGTGATCTGTGGAAGGGTTATAGTCATTTTGATATATTACTTTTTTTTTCCTATATCTGACTTTTAAAATAGGTGTGTGATGTTTATTTCAACGTGTGGCTAAAAAAAAAAAAAAAAAAAAAAAAAAAAAAAAAAAACGAAAATAAATAATTACTCTTTCTTTTCTTTTATTTCTCTTTCTTTTAAAAGTGCTATGTGATATATGGAAGGGTTGTAGTCATTATGATGCATTACTGAGTTTTCTTTTCTCTCTTTCGTTTAAAATTGGTATGAATGTTTATTTCAATGCGCGTGGTTTATAGAAAAAAAAAATAGATGGGTTTGTTAAAACTTTTTCTCTTGTAATTTCTTCTCCTGTGTTATCAGCAGAGAGAATATATTACCCTTTATAAATATCCTGCGACATATCATCAGTGTAACGGGAACAGATGCAGCAAAAGAAACGTGTGGCATAACAAACAGATAAATTATTAATCGTAAAAATATACACACATCTAACTAATCAAAATCACTGTTTCTATCTAGTTCATCTATATATATGGTTACGCAGTGGATATGTATTACACAATATAGGGCACGGGCGCGATAACATACACGAACACATATGGTAACTCACTAATACACAGTCCATCGTGGTCTCTCATATAACCGCTCTGACACACACACTTGTAGCTGCCAGGTGTGTTGATGCAGGCTTCCTTCTCCTTGCATGGCCCGCCTTTGCACTCGTCAGCGTCTGTTGAAAAAGACATGAAGGGTTTTTGAGTGTGTGTGTGTGTGTGTGTGTGTGTGTGTGTGTGTGTGTGTGTGTGTGTGTGTGTGTGTGTGTGTGTGTGTGTGTGTGTGTGTCCATCTTTGGCGCCATCCCTTCAAATAGTATGTATCTCAGATGTTTATTTAACTATGAGAGAAAAAAAAACAGCACAACCATTACTTCTAAAACGAACACAACTTATCAGTTTATCCATAACTATGACACGGATATACATTTATCCGATTTTTATCTTAGTCTCAGATCATGTATCCCCCCCCCAAAAAAAAAAAATATAGAAATCACACTCATCAATAAATAAATTGATAAATAAAAACAAAGTATACGACCTCAAACTTACCCTGACATTCGCCATCGACGATATCATAGCCATCCATACAGCGACACGAATATGTAGTGGCCTTTTCATCCGAACCGATACAGTACCTTCGCGAAGTCAGACCACACACAGCATCTCCATAGTATTGGCAGGTATCTAAGGTTATATGAGGCAATGGTTATGTAGGTCCATGTTGAAGGAGAGGTAATGGAAAGTATGAATATGTGGGTTGTATGTATTAATAAAAAATATAAATGTTATGGATATGTGGTTTCTTTTGATTCATGTAAGAACAGCATGAATTATTAGCATGCGTTTATTCTTATAAGTGTTAATGAGATATCAAAATTTCCGAATAA